ACAGCAGGAGATGGGACAGTCCCTGTGGGTCCGTCTGACCACCTGAGACCCCAACTCTCCAAACCTACTAATATGACTGAATTGTAAAAGCAGCAGCGTTGAGGGAGATGTGGGATTTGTGCGCTTTGCTTGCTTTGGCTGAAAAGTGGAGGATTTGTTTTTGTGGTCAATAAGATTCTGCTTTTGTCTCCTCAGGAGACATTTGGCCCTCTGAGAAAGATCTGTGTTTCAGATTTCATCCGGATTTCAGTTGACTTTAAGGGATTTATCTCCACCTACAGAACATTTAAGTTTTGTGATTTTTATTTGGACCAGTTGCAGTGAGAGAATGTTCACAATTAGATTTCCTATCATGAGGATGTTTGGTGGTTTTCTCTAGTTTTTTTTTTTAAAACAACCTGTTTAAACCAGCCTAAGCTACTTAGTTGATCCAAGCTGGTTTAAGATGGTCTCCCAACCTGAGCCGAGCTGGTATTTAGTTGGTTTAGATGAGCAGTCAACTGCTGATCAGCTGAAAACTGCCAAAACCCCCTTTAAAACTAACCAGTTTACCGACTAAGAGACTAACTAAGACCAGCAAACCAGCTTTGGCTGTTTTAAGATGTCTTTTCGTTCACAAATTGGGTGAGTAAACAAGGACAGAATTCTTAACTATCACTATAAATGAGAATGAGAAATAGAGGATGTTAACTTGGTAGAACAAGAACAAGCAAGATTTCCCACACATACAGTCGACATTAGAAATGGCAGCATGTCTCGGCATGTGTTATTACAGTCACCATAATTCTTTGATCATCAGCCTTGTTGAAGCAATGCAGAAAAATGAAAACAACTTGTTTTCTTGTTGTGCAACACAAGATGCCTAAGGTATGCTTGAATGTTGAGTAATCATCAACAAAGATGAAAAATAAGTTCAGGTACAGCTCAAGAGTGCAGAACCACTACAAACTGAAGAAACTGAAGAAAACAAGCGGGATGAGAGCAGGTCCAGGCCTGCTGAAAGTGTCTAGAAATAATCAGTTAAAATCAAAGTGAAAACCGTAGAAGTGCAGTTGAGAGAAAGAGCTTAAGTTGAACTAAGTCAGACAATTATGGAAAGAGTCTGCAGACCAACCTGCTGAAAGATGGGCTAAAATTAAATGACTCCGAATATGTCATGTGATGCTTTTTTCCACTGAAATAATACAGATATTCCTGTAAATCATCTGCACTTTGTCAGCTCTTCAATAAAAAGATTTCTCAATCACGTTTGAATCATGGAATACTCGTTTGTGGCGTTCAATCTTAAATTCACATTATATATAAAAAGGAATGTTAAAGGAACATCTTTCATAAATTGGAACCATTCCTAATGGGATCAAACAAGATAACTCAATAATAACTCAAAAATATTCATTCATTCATCAATTTATTCAATAGAATTTTATTAGATTAGAAAATGACTCTTGTATGATCCCATTACTATCAGTTTCAAATCATTTTTAATATTGGGTATATTTTTTGAGGGATTTCTAACATCTTTTAGGGTGTTCAGGAGCCGGTTGTATAAACGTCAAAAACCTTGAATAGAAGTTAGGCAAAGAGAAACTGAGAGTCAAACATAATATCTTATCTCAGTCTTAACTCTGAAGTAATAAAAGCCTCACATGACGAGGCCACAAATGTGATGTCTTTCTGAACAAAAGACGCTCTGAGATAGGTGTGCACTTTGTGGAGAATAGCTGTTTTTCTGTGGGAAAAAGAGCAGTCATTGCTGAGACAGCAGCACCTGAGCTAATGCATATTCTGATCATTTTGTTATAATTAAAAGGGAAGTCTGTAACATTTGTGTCGCCAAACAGAATTGGCATTAATGACTGTTTTCATACAGGTTTCCCCAATAAGTGGTCAGGCAAACGGATAGTATGCCTCTAGACTTATGTCTTCGGTTGAGTCAATGTTGTAATATTGTGTTTTTTGGGATGACAAACAGAGAAATTATTTGATTATTTATATTATTTATTATTTGATGGCCCAGAGCCTTAGTGTTTACACTTTTCAAAGGAAAGCAACCTATAAATGGTGTGCTTTTATTTTTATTGAAAATGAATTTCAACTTAGAACAACAACATATTTTGTTTTCTCTGTTCTATTTAAATCTAGAACATGAAGATCTGCAAATTATGGGGGTGGTGTTCCTGGGGACACATGAACTGAAGCCAAATTATTTTGGATATTTCCATGAGAAAGGTTCAGGACACATTGTGCTTTTGACTAGCATATCTGAATTTGTCATTAAAACTGCTCTATGAGCTTCCGAGTTTCTGACTCATTTGCAGCTCTCATAGGCTACTGAACACTTAAACATGCCAACAAACTTGTACACGAGCAGTTGTTAAAGGGGAGTATTGAGAGCATGTTGTCATGCTGACACATTGCATCTGTTCTGAGGGTCTTTTGTGGGTTTCTACTGCTCAAGGAGACAGAGCCAGATTGTTCCAGAATGACTTTACAATGGGTCACATGCCAGATGCTTTACCACCTTTCTTTGACACATGCACGATGCACATCAGCATTGTTTTTGGGAACTGATTTTTCATTCTTGATGGAACAATGGACATTAATATTGTGAATCTGCTCATTTCTGACTCACGTGTCTTGTATATCCACACTCCCTTGTGAAATCTTTATCATGTGCGTTATGTGAATCATTGTGCGTAGTCTCTGATTCACACATGCGTGTACAGTAACTCATAGCAAAGGCTAATGAATAGGGTCGAGTAGGGTAGGGACTCTCAGAGTTATCTCAGCCCATGTGTTGCATACTTCTATGCTCACATCTGTGGCTAAACGTAAATATGTGGTGGGCTCCCAATCTGACTCATTCACTCAAGCAGCTTTAATGTAATGTTACTGATATATGTAGGAGGTTACTGTACATGACTCACATGAACAATTCAAACAATACCACCAATGTAGGTCAATGCGAGTAGTCACAAGAGGAAGCATGCATGCAAATCTGTGGTAAGGAGGCTTTTCTTTTCAACACCGTATGGCACTTTCTATCAATAGGGTTAACAGTTTTTTTCTGCCATGTTCAGTGAAAGGGGGTGCTTAACCATTAGAAAAATGTGGTTTTTATTTTCAATTCGTATTCTGATATACTGTATGTATATATATAATATATATATATATATATATATATTGCTAAAATTGAATGTCTCTCTCTCTCGATATATACTGTATATATATACAGTATATAATGCAAATGTCAATGCTACTTGTGTGTGTGTGTATAATGTTAATATTGTAAATGTCATAGATTTTTCATGTGTGTGTTTATGTGCATACACATAAAAATATACAAATGTATATACATACATGCATACATAAATGTATATATCCTAAACATGAAATATGATACATATTAAGCAATACATATACATGTGTGTGTGTGTGTGTGTGTGTATTATAATTATTCATAACTACTTTTATAATGCATTATACATAAAGGATTTAAGTAAATTGTTGCCTATAAGTATTATAAATTATAAAATTATGATTTAGTTTGGAAAATAAATGTTTTTGGGCCAGTCAAGCAATGTTAAGAAACAAATTACATGCAAAATGTGTGATATCATTTTCTTCTCAAATAAAATGAGTTATTATTCTAATTATTTTTTGAATATCAGTTCGATAAATTACGGTATATCTAAATTATTATAACATTGTTGTATGACCTCAACTGTAGAGTACAGTCAAAAAGTTCACTGCCTCTGAGGTGGAACAAGACAAATCCATGATTTTTATGGGGTGTTGTGGATTGTCGTACTGATGGTTGGTGCATTTAAATATAACTAACTTTGTTCCATACTAGGTTAATTCTCATGTTATAGTTTATCTAACATATCCATTATAATACTGGTTTTGTGGAATGTGCCATATATCTGCGTCATGTCCAATTTAGGAAGACTCTTCTGATAAACACATTGGCAAGTCCTGATTTTGCTGAGTTAGATGTGTTCCTAGGTCAACATATTTGTTGACCCTGGAACAATATTTTAATCCAAAAATTTTATCTTGACCATATCCCTACACCTAAACCTAACCTTAACCATGAGTAATCCTTAAAATCAGTAGAAATGATAGATGAATGACACTGCTGTACAAGCACCAAACACTGATTGTAAGCCTAAACTTCACAAAAACTATAAACTGTTTATTCAAATCTGATTGGTTATTCACAATGTTGTTCCAGGGTCAACAAAGATGTTGATCCAGGAACATGTTGCACTTGGTAAAATCAGGTTCTGCAAACACATTGAGAGATCAGTCAGCTGGAAAAAGTTATCTGAAGGCAGAACAGCTGATTATAAAGCAAAACCGGCACTATAAAGTATCCTCTTGTCAAACCTTTTAAAGGGCATGTCAGCTCGTGTTGTAAAGTGAATTGCAACATGCGCAGAAATGAGTGTCCAATTGTGTAATCAAGATCAGTTTCCAAATATATCTGCACATATGCGCCTCCAATGCAGCTCTTGAGAGCATTACAAACACCAATTTATTTATTTTTTCACTTTATTTTTCTGTTTTTCTTCTGGAAACTTGATTGGTGGTAATTCAACAGTTGATGTGATGTCACATGAATTGTAAATGTAGTTGTCCGACTGACCAGCAGGTGGTGAGGGAAGAACCTACCTCTGAAATGACCTTTTGTGTAAGCAAAAACAAAAAAGAGAAGTACAGTGGTGTGAGACAGATAACATAATGATCCATAATGAATTAACCAACAGGAAAAGTGTGGCATGGAAAGATAAATTGCCCCCAAACTGATACAAGCAGTCAAAACCCTCAAGGAAAGGGGTATAACCTAAAGTAGCTCCTGTCTGTGTGTAAATGTGTTGTGTCTGGATGTGTGGGAGGGAGAAAGTAAAGAGAAGGAGGGCAAAGCAGGAGGGGTGGGTCGGAGGGCTTGTCCTGGCTCTATATAGAGAGGGAAAATCCGAGTGTGACTAAGGGGCCAGACAGGAGGCTGAAGACAGTACTCTGTTCAGTACTTTGACCTGTAGCTGAAACAAACCAGCTCACATTTTGTTCACTGGATATAACCAGAGGAAGGATTTGATTTCACTAAACAAGGTGGGGGATTTTTTTTGTTCCAGCTATTTAAATCCTGTGCAACCTCCTCCCTCCCTATTTTCATGCAAGTGTGTCAAACAGGTGCGTAGTTAAGAGCAGCAGACCGGCAGCACTATTATCCTCTTTACATGTACCAAGAATGGCATTTCATGAAGTAAAAGTAGTTTAAGTTATGAAATTTAAAGCATTATACTTCAGCTGTCATTGAATCTAGAATATTCTACATCAGTCTTCAACCTTTTTCAAGTGATACATTTAAAGCCTGGCCTATTCTTTAGTCTTTTTTATGTTTAGTACCATATTAATGAAATTATATGCTTTATTATCATTATCATTATTTGTGTACAAAGCCGTACACTTGTATAATCTTAGCTGAACTTTGGGTTAGGTTGGATTAATTTAATGTTGTATTTTTAATGCATAATCTGTTTGAAATCAAACATTAATTGGAGATTGCTGCTTTATATTTAGTTATATTTAGTGTTTGTTTAGTAACATGATGAAAGTTATAGTTATTTGTCAGAAAAGTGTACTTCATTAAATCTATCACATAACTGAATGATACCACATTCAGATAAATTACATATGAAATTAATATGAAATATATGATAATACAGAGTTAGTGGATATCTTTAAACTGCAAATGTGTCTTATACAACTATGTAAACTACATGAAGAGTTAAAGAGTTATGTAAATAACTGCAGGAAAATTATGTATGATCTCAAATATCACTCAGGTCATCACTTTCAGTATTACAATACATGTAAATGAGAAGTAGGTGGTGTCTGTGCTATACTTCTTTGACAGCTCAAGAAGCTGTCATAACTGATAAGCATGGAATCTGCTAGAAAGTCTCCTCGGTCTGCTATCTGTCTTTTATTTGATACTGATATGGAAGCTTCTAGACCTGCTCTCAAAGTCCATGAAGTGTCATTCTACAACAACAAAGGTATATGTTACATATCAACCTTAAATGTAGCATTTTTTCAAAGACTTTTATTTAAATTCACTAATATTTGTTAGTGAAATTAAAATATTAAAGGTGAAGTTAAAGTATGAATATCCAGAAGACAAGACCTCCTGTATTTTTAGCCTGTTATGATTGTGGTGTTTGTGTCAGTATGTTGTGTTGAACCACCTGTACACATGGAACTAAGATTGGAGATATGACTATAATGCTGTATTTTCTGTATCAGCTCATTAGTTAAGTTTTGTGTGATCAAAAGCGCTGATGTAAGTCTTGATGAAAACGAGTGCTGTATCATTTGTCAGACAGCAGATTATAAATCAGTGATGTGTGCAGGAGCAGCCGTTTTACTGTCTGCTGCACATCAAGCATCATACGGGATGTTTGTGATGTAAAAGTCAACACGTCTCTACATGCTACACTCCCGTCGAGAGCAAACAGGCGAGCCTTCAAAAGCCAAAATATCCACATTACTGTAGTGACATCATTACTGATATTTACCGGAGTGATCGTCATGACAACAGGGTCAAACGAGCATTTCTTTCACTGCTGAGACACTGCTGCCATATGTTTGCTCTGGTCAACTAAAGGCACAGTCATGCAGAAAACTGCACAGCAATGGACTTTGTTTCCGGGGCTGTTCTTTTGTCTGTATGGGGGACATTGTGCCTGGTGGACTGATTGGGTAATTAATGATGCTATTTCTGTAATTTGCTCGCAGGCCTCTCATCTTTGTCAAGTCTCTTTTCTTTTTAACCCGAGACCACAACAGGCAGCTTGAGTGCAATTATGTGTGATCTTAAGACATTGTTCTCAGGGAAGAGGATCAGGAGCAGTAATTTGATCAATTAAACGAGGAGAAAGAGGAGGAAGGCCACGCCAAACAATGACCTTTAAAAGGCTATTTAATTTTAAAGCCATATGTTATTTCAGAAGACAACAAATATATATCAATCTTAATTAAAAAATATAGAAATCAGTTTAACGTGTAACTTGTATAATGTTACAAAAGATTTATTTTTAAAATAAATGCTGTTCAGTAACTTTCTATTCATTAAATAATCCTGAAAAAAAAAATCATTATTAATAATTGAGCTGCAAATCAGTATTAGAATAATTTCTGAAGTTTCAGGAGACACGGATGACTGTAATGGCTTTGCCACCAAAAGAATGAATTACATTTTAAAATATTTAATAGAAATTTTTTTAATAATAGTTCACAATATTTTTTTAAATATTTTACTGTATTTTTGAAAAAAAATGCTGCCTTGATGAGCTTAAGAGACTTCTCTCAAAGACATTAAAATATCATAATTATTCCAAACTTTTGGCCAGTGATATATAATCTATACACTGCCATTCAAAAGTTTGGGATCAGATAATGTTTTTAATGTTTCTTATGCTCATAAAGTCTTTTTGATTAAAAATACAGAAAAAAACTGTAATTTTATGAAATAGTATTGCAATTTAAAAATAACAGTTTTTTATTTTAATATACTTTAAAATATGATTTATTCCTCTGAAGAAAAGCAGAATTTTCAGCATCATTACTCCAGTCTTCAGTGTCACATGATCCTTCTGAAATCATTCTAATATGCTGATTTATAACCAATGTTGGAAACAGTTGTGCTGCTTAATATTTTATACCTGTGATGCTTTTTTCAGGGTTCTTTGATAAATAAAAAGTTAAAAAGAACAGTGTTTATTCAAAATAGAAATTTTGTTACAATATACACTCTTAAAAATAAAGGTGCTTCACGAGGCCATAGAAGAACCTTTTTGTCTAAATGGTTCCATAAAGAACCTTTAACATCTGAAGAACCCTTCTGTTTCACAAAAGGTTCTTTGTGGCGAAATAAGGTTCTTCAGATTACAAAAAGCTAAGAAAGAGATGGTTCTTTAAAGAACCTTGGACTGAATGGTTATTTGTGGAACCAAAAATGGTTCTTCTATGGCATCGCTTGAAGAACCTTTTGAAGCACCTTTATTTTTAAGAGTGTACACTACTATTCAAAAGTTTGGGGTCAGTAAATGTTTTCTTTCTTTATTTCTTTTAAGAAATTAATACTTTTATTCAGCAAGGATGTGTTAAATGGATAAAAAAGTGATAGTAAAGACATATTGTTAGAAAAGAGTTCTATTTTGAATAAATGCTGTTCTTATTAACTGTTTATTCATCAAAGAATCAAAGAAAAAAGTATCACAGGTTCCAAAAAAGAATAAGCAGCACAACAGTTTCAACACTGATAATAAATCAGCATATTAGAATGATTTCTGAAGAATCATGCGAAACTGAAGATTGGACTAATGACTGCTGAAAATTCAGTTCAATTCAGTACACAGAAATAAATAATATTTCAAAGTGTATTAAAACAGGAAACCAATATTAGAAATTGCAATAATATTTTACAATATTACTGTTTTTTCTGTATTTTTGATCATATAAATACAGCCTTGATGAGCACAAGAGACTCCATTAAAAAACATGTCAAACTTTTGAACGGCTGTGTACATATGCAATCTAAAAATAATGATTAATATTTAACATATATAATGCTTGTGAGGTCCATTTTGTGTATAAATCTACATGAAAATGTGTTATTTTGTTATCAAAGATGGACAGCCTTTATAAGACAGCCTTACCCTGTTTGTGCGCCTGTCTTGGTTTTGACTGCAGGAAGTAGCTGTTTCCATAACAATGATAAGTTTTGGCTCCATTAGTTTGATACTGACATTATTTCCACCATGTCAGCTACTGTGTCCTTTCTTGGAATATGAAGATAAACAGGTCCATTTTCCTATTTTAAAGGGACATTCATCTTATCTTGACATTTTAATACAAACACAATTTTTAAGTAAACAAGAAATAAAAAAAATATTATTTACCATTGGGTTTTATAGTTTAAATTCTCCAAAATGATTCCAAGAAAACCAGGTAACTAAAAGCATTAGCAGCATGAATGCAAAACATTAATTATCCTTTCACAATAATTAAGCAATTACATACCGCTTTGGAGCATATTGAATCAAATATGAAGCACATTTCTTCAATTCTGTTTAAATGTAAACACTCCACATGGATTATGTAATATTTTGGTTAGTTTATGGATTTAAGTTTTCACAGACATTTTTTCTGTATTGCTCAGTATGTGATCCATGATGGTGCCAAGTATGTTGACGTGATAACTACTGCGAATATCTGTTTGCTCATAGCTCAAATATTATAAATGAGACAAAATGTCTCGAGAGAGATCAAATATAGACATTGCAGTCAGTGGGCAAAGGCCATTCATTTTGACCTTTGTGCTTTCTCTTAAAAGGAAGAGCCTAGTGTAAGACAATATTTAAATAGATGTAGTAACTGCTGTGAGTCTTTTCTGGAAGTTTAGTAAGTACATAAAAGTGGTGGACGTCTACAGTAACTTGAGGCCTGAGTCATATGACCCCACCTTTTCTATTAGACACACCTTAATGTATGGATAGTCCCACAGAAACCCAAGCACACAGATAATAGTAGTTTCAATCATGGACAAAAGTCAAGAGAAAACTGTGCTTACAGTTTCTCCTCAGAATGATCATTCTAACCTCGTTGAATACTGCTGTGCTGTTATTGTGTTTGCAGGATGAGTGCATTATTAAAATAAGAACAAGTGGAACATCTGTTTATCAGTGATGTTTATATTGCAGATTTTTGGCTCATAGCCTCGAGCTCAGCCTGCTTCAGGAAAGTGCAAAACAAACCATCGGCCTTAGGAATTGCATTGCTCTGCCTAACACCTCTGTTTCTGTTTTCACTCAAATGTTAAAATGTTATTACTGCTGGAATCATATTTGGAGCATAATTTTGTTTTGGTGCATTAGATTCAGTTCTGATTTGAAAGTTGACCCTAATGGCTGATGTTTTGCTATATTGATTTCTTTATGACAGATAAGCAATGTTGAAGCTCTTGATGCTGGCTGCCATCACAGCGCTCCTCCTGCTGGTGGAAGGGGGAATGTCGGCGAGGACTCAGTCCCGCACTAAGAGAGAACTGGCCAGCCCGTTGCACCTCAGGGGGATCCGGGACCCCTATGGCTCCTACTGCCAGAGGAGAGGAGGCTGCTGCCCCGGCCGAAATGACCAGTGCACTGTGCCATACCTGGACACCATCTGTTACTGTGACCTGTTCTGCAACCGCACCGTGTCCGACTGTTGTCCTGACTTTTGGAGCCACTGCCTGGGAACAACTCCTCCATATCCTCCCAGTAAGTTGAATGACAAAGTGAATTCTGAAGACTGCTGAGTCTGAGAGTGCTGGTCACTCTTTTCCATGTATTTGTCTGCACAGTGAATAGGGACTTAGACGTTCAAACTTCAAAAAGGATCCACAAAAGCACTGTAAATTTAATATAAAAATTATCCATATGACTAGGGCATATTATATTATAAGTCTTCTAGCCAAACAACAGCTTCATATTATTAACAGATCAAAGTTGAAGTCATTATTCACTGATAATCTAATCCCTGGATTGACCTGAAATATATTCTTTTTAATGCTATTTCAGTATAAGAAACAGCATTTATGGGGCAGTTTATGTCAGATGCTAAAGGTATAGTTCACCCAAAAATACTTTCTTATGTTGAACATAAAAGAAGATATTTTGAAGAACGCTGGTAATCAAAGAGTTGATGGTCCCCATTGACCCTACTATGGAAGTCAATTGGGACCAACAACTGTTTGGTTCTTCAGAATTCTTCAAAATGTCTTCTCTTGTGTATAACATAAGAAAGAAACTTTCACAGGTTTGGAATGACATGAAGTCGAGTAAATGATGGCACAATTTTCATTTTTGGGTGAACTATTCCTTTAATACCTATTTTAAATATGCTAATTTTGAGTTTGGCCAGCAGTTTGTGAGATTTAAGTATTTTCCCTCTCAAACAGATAGGAGTTGGTCTTGCATGCCCAAAATAGCTGCTAGCATTGCAAATATGGCTGAAAATAGGGAACTTGAGAACCAGATCAATATAATTTGTGAGCAAAATATTCAGAATACTTTTGTGAATCAATTGATAAATCAATTGTTTGAAAAGATTTGACCTTAAAATAAAAAAATCTTTCTCAAATCAGACTTTGCTAGTCCTCTCATGAGCATATCTAGGGCTTATATCAATATTTTGATGCGACAACAATATAATTATCAGTATAATAGAACTATTGTATGACTTCAGAAGACTTATATGGACTACTTTTATGATAATTTTTTAGTGCTTTTTTGTCAATTTGGATCCTCAGATGGCAGAGGTTCATGTTTAATCCTGTTTTAGCTTCCTTCATGACAAGAAACATTCAATCTTGTTCTCATATTGAAAAGATCTATAGTTTGGGATTAGTCATTTTTAATCAAGATGGGAAGCCAATCATTGGTATGCTTAGGGAACCATTTTGGCCCACAGCCAATGTTTGAAGTCTACACCGTTAAGAAAAGGTTAGTTATTTTCTAGACACATAATGGAAAACCAAGTCCAAATTCTTCCCTGTTAATGTTTTCCTGCCATTCTTGCTTCATGGACCTCACTGTGGTTGTGTAGTACCACTGAGGTGTAAAATGTTCAGTCGTGGACCTAATAATGGGCAGAGAACAGTGGCATTCTCATGACAAGAGCAGAACAGGGCAGCGGAAGGCAGGGAGCAATGAATGGAGGTCAGCTGAAAGAATGCCTGTAATGCACGAGGAGGAAAGGGGGTGGAAAGGGTGACTGCGGACAGGGAGGGATCACAACAGGTATGTGCACAATGTGTGTTTGCTAAAGGAGGGACAATCATGTCTGTAGGGCAGGTATGACTTCACGGATCACAGCTCAGCATTGCTCAGATGGAGAGTGTTGCTAAATCTCAGTAAATGTTTTCAATGGAAAGCCGCTTTCATTTACAGTAAAAATAACATCTGATAGTTCATGCTTCCTACTCTTTTAGGATTTTGGGCAATTGCAGCTTAGCTTTTTGATGTTTAAACTTGAAACTTGCCTATAAAAAGTAATTTAGTTTAATAAAAAGATAAACTATATAAATTCTAGTAAAATTGGAATACTTAAACAAAAAAATGTAACATGCCACAAACACAGATGCAAATTCTTCCATAGTGTCTTTCCCGAACTTTTTCTGAATGTAAAAGACAGCAAACAGGAGAAAATGTCACGTCACACTTTTGAGAGTCCTTCAAAAAAACGGTCCACTGTTAAAACATCTGCTACAATATATTATATGAATCTTTAATTGTATGTCACTTGAAAACAAATTATTAATTAAATAAATAAAAAATATATTGTGACTACAAATTAAGAGTTTGTTCCCATGATTTATTAAATTAGGGTGGTGTTTTAATAATTTGTTCACTAATTTTAATTTAATTGTGGCCACATATGAAACACTGCATGTGAGAGAAAAGAAACTAGATATCATGGCCACAAATTAAGAATATATTTTAATTTGTCATTCATGGAGAAAAACCCATTTTGGGCCCAGATGGTGTCGTTACAACATCTACCAGCAGCGGCCAACTGAATCATGCTAACCAGCCAAACAGTGAGCCCTGTTTCCAAACGAGTTTTAAACATTCCTCTCCTCTCATTTTCCAGCATTCGGTTGAGCCAGTGTTGTTATGTAATTCTATTCGGTGCCACTAATGGTGCAGACATTATTCACTTTGATTTTTATTGACATGATTTTATGTATGTGTCTGTTATAGTGTCTTACATAGACATCCTACATATGCATCCACTCCTTTTTAGTTTATTCTTACTGTAGTTTGTATTATATTAGGAGGAGAGGAAAGATGGCCTGCCCATTTCCAGCAAGGCAATGTGGCAATCTCTGATTAAGCTCGTCAAGGCATGACGATAGCAGAGTCTCTGGGAAAGCAATGGAAAGCCAAGAAAACATTCCACTGCGGGCACCACAGACTACATCAGACAAACTGTTAATCCAAGTGTTAAGTATGTGTGTGTGGTTCTTCCTCAAATCTCCTGCAGACTGATTCATAATTGTTGTTTGTTGATTTCAGGTTCTTGTGAAAGGAACGGCCACAGGTTTCACTCAGGAGCAACATACAAAGAGAACTGTAATTTATGGTGAGTGTGAAATCTAGTCAAAGCTATATACAAATCCTCCTTCGTTCCATTTCCATAGCACTGACAACACGGCCTTTTCAAGGGCACTGTGAAACTCTCAATCCAAGTCCATTGTTTGGCTACATCAACACTCATGTTGGCAGGATTTATCCGCAGACCGAGAGAGTCTTGACTGGGCTGCTTCAGTGGGCAGGACAGTGGGACCCCTCGGGTCCTGAAAAGATTACACACAATCCTGAGTTCCCATACATATGCTTTACCTTCAGCGCCCTTGTGATCCTGACAATGTGAGAAGTACAAACACATTGCAGGATAATGTAGAGCACATATACATCCATAATATTTACCGCATGTCTCTCTCCCTTTACACAAAACCCCTTGCTAATAGGATTAGCTCTCCTCATAGAATCTAATCCGTCGCACCAGCCATGGTCGAAGCACATTCCCTTTCACTGTTTGAGGAGTCAGTGGACACATAAACCTCCTTAGTTAATAACCACCACATGGGAATATATCATTTTGTATGCTGAAATTGAATATACGGTGATATATAGAATTTAAATCTATAACTGCTTTGGCTGTAAAATTACCCTTCTGTTTGTTGGTGATGGATTGTTGTATTTTTGTTTTGCATGAAGAGGTAGTTATTTGCACTAGCTGACTGAGCTATTCATGTGCGCTACATGACCTCCAACTGAGATTTACTGTGAAAATTGTGGGTAATTGGTGAAATTACATCTCTCCAGTAAATTAAATTAAATTAAATTAAATTTGAAGGTATATTGTGACTTAAAGTCGCAATAATAATACAAATTAAGTTACAATTTTAAGAAATACAGTATAAAAATGCTGGGTTAAATACAACCCAGCGCTGGGTAAAATATGGACAAACCCAGCGATTGGGTTGTTTTCAAAAGTGAAGTGAAGTGAAGTGACATGTGGCCAAGTATGGTGACCCATACTAGGAATTAGTGCTCTGCATTTAACCCATCCTAAGTGCACACACACAGCAGTGAACACACACCCCATGAACACACCCGGAGCAGTGGGCAGCCATTTATGCTGCGGCGCCCCGGGAGCAGTTGGTGGTTCGGTGCCTTGCTCAAGGGCACCTCAGTCGTGGTATTGAAGGTGGAAGAGAGCGCTGTACATTCACTCCCCCCACCTACAATTCCTGCCGGACCGGAGACTCGAACTTGCAACCTTTGGGTTACAAGTCAGACTCTCTAACCATTAGGCCACGACTTCCCCAGTTTTGACCCAACGGTTGGGTTACTGCCCAAACTGTTGGTTGAAAACAACCCAATCGCTGGGTTTGTCCAAATTTTACCCAGCGCTGGGTTGTGTTTAACCCAGCATTTTGTAGAGTGTGATTATGAGATTTTATTTTCCATTTTTTGTTTGCTTACATGCTGTCTTGTCATCCAATTTGGATGGTATAATGTTTGTTGTTCTAAATGCATCTGATAGTGCTTTTTCACTGTATTTTGCCTTGTGAGAAACTAGTGATGGTTAGACAAAACAGAAAAGCAGGAATGCCTTACCCCAATTCCACAGGTTTTTCACACAGCAGTGATATGGGTATTGTCTCTGGGAATACAGTGTGGTGTCATCTCCAGTGTTGTTTGTTTTTGGTGTAATGTGTGCACATGGTGACATATTGCAAATGTTTATGACAGGGTGAAATTTACTTGTTTTTGAACACATTAAGACCTAAATATGAGAGCCGTCAATACTTACAATGCCCTAGTGCTGGTTTTGAGAGTCTTGTGAGGAGAAAAGCTATTCTACAAGCTAGTACAAATGATCAGGATGATAAAACATAATCTCTGTGAATTTAGATATATTTGACTTGAAAACTTAATCTTGAGTTGAAGGCATTTTAATCATATTTTTCCTATTAGCTGCCTTATCGTGTAAATGTAGTCAAGAATGCTCATGTTGTATGTTCTGTCTGCAGATGTTTTTGTTTATATGTCTGACTCAGTCTGTTGTTGATGTGATATGATTTTATCTGTTAGTTAGGCGTGATGGTGCTTTCTGTGATCACACTAACCACAAGATTGGCACCTCCTGGCACTGCCCTGTTATCTCCCCTATCTTCAGTTCTCGTTTTATCATTATCTTTTTTTACGTTCTTCTGTATGTAGTGATCTGCTTCCTGTGGTGGCAGAGATTGATGAAATACTGGCTGCTGTCCCAGTGGAGTTGTTGTTCCCTCTGGTTCACATTCACCTCTGTAATCCTGAGATTTCCTGAGTTCAAGCCTCACTGGACTGGGCCGTATGTTTGGCATGTAGCAGCCACAGACCCACTGCCTCCTGCAGGATCTGATCCTCAGTCAGTGATGTGATGAGCGCTACTGGTGTCTCAGTATAACTGTATCTTTCTTACTCTTTCTCTTTTACATACACCTGGCTATAATGTCAGAAATGATTGCAATCTTTGTGCTAGAGTTATGAGAAGAATGTCAAATCTTCATAATTTGTCAGTTATCCAAATCTTATCCAATTTTACTGGAAAACAAAACACAATACAGATAAAGAAAATGCCATTTTGCAGACAGTTTTATCAATCTAAATCTATTTTGGCCATTGCATTTCTATAGTCCCTATCACAGAGTCTAGCCTATATGAATCCCTGCCGGAGCCCATGCATTCAACCCGCTGTCATCTTTTTGAGATTACTGTGAAATGTAAGGCATGTTACAGAGGCATGTCAAAGGCTTGTATCAGGATGCTGTTTTGAGCATTACAGTGAAGCGTGACAGAGTGAGAAACTCAGCTTCCTGCTGACAACAGGTCACTTGACACCTTTGCACTCTAAAGGCCTTTTTGTAACTTTCAACCAGCAAGTGTGTGCTGGTGTGTGAATTTATGTCTCAATCTGAACTACTGTGTGAAGGTTGAACACTAGGACTTTGAATGTGTGTCGCCTGACAGAAAGAAGTGGTCACAAGATCTGCAATGTGCAACTAGATTTTTACAGAGAAAAATGTGAGTGCAAAACCCATAGCTACGTTGGTTGCCAGCATACTGGTCCAAATAAAAAACAACAGCACACAAAATAATAGCCAACCTCTCCTTGCCGTGCGATTTGAGGCACCATTCATGTGCGTAGTACAAATGGGCTGGACAGGTTACATGCTGAAGTTTAATTCTTCTCTTCGTGACTCATCCCGCTGCTCTCTAGTAATGTCTCAGCAGCAGTGCACCTCTGCTCTTCCTCTTTTAATCCACGTTCTTCTCAAACGTCAGGCCTGAACCTCCTCCCTAAGCACAGACTGACTAAAAATGGATATTTCTTCAAGAGCTGTAGCCTTAAAAGGCTCATAGGCCTCTCTCTCTTTCAGTTTCTCTCTCTTGCTTGTTTTGTGTCTCAAATGTAGAATATGTCTGAAATGCTTCATTGTTTCTCTCTATGGTTTGGTCTGACGTCTGTCTACATTTTCTTTCTCTGTTTTAAAACGCATATAAACACACTGTTGTTTATTATTCTAAAAGTTCATCTACCATTTACGTCAGTCCTCAGAAACTGCACTGTTAATGAAAGAACAATGAGGGGTTTTAAAGTCACTTTTCTTTCCACAAATACAGTCCCATGACTTACCTAACATAAAATTAACCATGATTAAATGTTTTAAATCATTTTAAAGGCACAAAAATGTTTATTTCCCACACTTAAAATGGTAACCCTTGACTGTAATTAACTGATAAACTCACACCTGCATTTTGCTATAATCTTTCACATTAAAGGCACAATATGTAATTTTCGCCGCTGGAGGGCGCGTATTCAAAATAAACAAAGAGACAAAGGCGTAGTTTGATGACGCCGTGACTTAGTGTGGAATCATGGGAGTTGGCTTCATCTCCACAGCCGATGCGATCCGACGGGACTCGGGCAGAAATCATGTTCATGGATGAGCTAATGATTTATTAACGTAGTAGAATGAAGCAGACTGAGGCTGAAAGCCGTCGAAGCGAAACGAGGCCGCTGCACTCTTAAAAATAAAGGTGCTTCATGAGGCCATAGAATAACCTTTTTGTCTAAATGGTTCCATAAAGAACCTTTAACATCTGAAGAACCTTTCTGTTTCACAAAAGGTTCTTTGTGGCGAAATAAGGTTCTTCAGATTACAAAAAAGCAAGAAAGAGATGGTTCTTTAAAGAACCTTTGACTGAATGGTTCTTTGTTGAACCAAAAATGGTTCTTCTATGGCATCGCTTGAAGAACCTTTTGAAGCACCTTTATTTTTAAGAGTGTGGACAAGCGTGACACAGGAGCCAAAAGCAGCGGAGCTTTTAATATGCCACAGTCGACTGCTTCTGCTCCTTCCGGTCGTGCGTATGTGGGGGGAAAAAGCAGCGCTGTTTTATCATACTAGATACATTTGAACGTTCTGTTATAATGCTACTCTGTGCGGTCGTCACCGGTCTATTAAAACACACAACATATTAAAGTGTCTTTGGTGTTTCCATGTTTTCTACAAAACAAAACCGGAAATCAAGGGGTTATGACGTCATTGGCAAGCGACACAATGACACTATGGACACGGTCTGTGTCACTAGTTAAAATTGCTTATTTCTCTGGATTTAAACACTCTTCGAAACATTTGGGATAATGTAAGTACACAAGTCAGCAAAATATGTAACACTGTTCTAGTGGTTTTTGGATGTTTTAATAAAACAATCTTACATATTGTACCTTTAAGTGCACACATCAGGGTTTTGAACAGTTTTAACCCCTTAACTGTCACCGTCCCGTATACGGGACACCTAAGTTTACTTCAATATATTACAATTAAATCCTAATCTAATCATGGAAGCGACTGTCGCCATCTGGGCAGCTCGTCACTCCCGGATAATCGAAGATGGGCAAAGAGGCGGGGAGCTGGTTGTTGAAACCTAGCTCGATGGTGGTTACAGCAGCGGCAATCCACCTGTCACTCAAGTGGCCACACCCTTAATTATGCAGAACTTTAAGGCTTAACATAATTTAAAAGGATGAGTTATAAAAAAAATTCACCCCCCTCACAGTTGTCATGAAGGGCAAAATTAGCTATATAGACCAAAATCATTTTTTGAACCAGGCTGTAAACGTTTTTTTCTGCTGTAAAGTTAGGCATTTTAACATGTGGAGTCTATGGGATTGACTCCCTTTTGCAGCCAACCTCTAGCGGCCAGTTGTTGAATTACAGTTCAAGTCACTTCCTTGTTGGCTTTACAAGAGAGAACGGGAGGTTGCCGCTTGGTGTGAACACACGGTTATTCGCTTACTTTTTCCCTATCACGTGTTTTAGTAATCATCATAAATTGAATATCATTTGAAAGCTTAAAACCTCCAAATTCATCCTGTGAAAAACATTTTGAAATCAGACACTGCGTTACCATGGAAATTGTACTTTAAAATCTTTTAGCGGGCTCCTCCCCCTTAGTGGGAGGTGCCATATTCCAAACGTATTACGGTCTTTTAGAATCAAAACTTGTCATAATCTTGACAAAATACATATAGTTGGAAAGGTCTGAGTCTCAAGATTCCATATTTGGTGGTATTTTGTCATAGACATAATATTGAGAGAGCAATTAATACATTTGTGACAGAAAAATGCATCAAAAAAATTCAGTGGAGTTTGGATGGCACCCGGTGGCTGTTTGTGGTATAACGCCTAAACAAAATTGCATAGGAACCTCAATTTTTTTTTTATCAACTTCAAATTTCGAACACAACTTATTTAGACATATGGCTTTAATTTTATAGCAATTTTGGATTAAACATATTTTATAAAATATTTATTTTATTCCGTTTACAGTACATTTTCTTTACAGTAAATTTAAACTTCTATAATTTATCAACTTCAAATTTCGAACACAACTTATTTAGACATATGGCTTTAATTTTATAGCAATTTTGGATTAAACATATTTTATAAAATATTTATTTTATTCCGTTTACAGTACATTTTCTTTACAGTAAATTTAAACTTCTATAACTTTTTTATGCTTTCATTTTTTTTAAATGATTTCACTTCTGCAATAATCTGCAGATTGTGTTGTTTAAAAAGAGACCAACCTTAGGTCTGTATTCAAAAGCGTTTATGAATTATAACAATTTAAGTTTGAACTGGGC